AAAGGGGGTGTGGAAATTTGGTACCTTGTTTTACTGCTGCGGGATGATTTGGTCTGTAACTGCAACGCCGTAAGAGCTTGCTTGGTATTATGGATCCATGAACATTTGCGTCAACTTTGTTTTGAAGCAGCAGTGCGGTTTTAGTACGGTTTCACCTGCGGAATGGCCAGACCATTCCTTGTTGAAGCGCTCGAGCCTTTACCAGAACGCTTGAGTGAGAGCTTGCTGAGCTTCGAAGTCGTAGAGTTGTCTTTAGCTTAGCAGTGCTGTGGAACAACACGTTTTGCATGTCATGGTGCACCACGATAGTTTTCTGGAAGACAGAGCTGTAGCTTGAACAAGCTGCTTTTGGCTGTTGTCGTGAAGAAGCAAATGCACAAGTGGATTTGCCAGTGAGAACAGAAGCTTTAAGAAGAAGCTGCTTCTGAAAACCGTTTTGGCTCAAGGAGCTAAGCGGTGAAGCCAAGTTACGGAGCCAAGTTTGTGAAGACGTTTCTCTTGGTGCGAGTGCCAAAAGTGACAGTCACGTCAGTCTGCTTGCCTCGGAAGGGTTAGTAAGTTTTACATTTAGTGCCACCCAAAAACAGAGAGAGAGGTGGAGCCTTCTTTGCCAGTTCTCCACCGCAGCAACCCTCTTTACACGCGCTCAGATCCAGCTGACAGCCTTTCGCCTGTGGCGAGCTGCAACCCTAGCAGAGGCACCGTGCCGAGTCGTGTTTATTCGATGGTGCCAAAGATCAGCCGCCTTTCCGAGCCCACCGAAGCAATTTGGATCGGCCAGTTATTGCCTGCCGGAAGGGCGTTGTTGCACAGCCTGAGTGTGCTTGTCTCACCTTAGCTTTCGAATTGTCTTTGATTTAAAAATTTGTTTGCTTTGCTTTGTGCGGACCGAGTGCAGCAGCCGCTGTCGACGAGGCCGAACCACGCAAAAAACAGTCTATCTCGCCATTCACACAGCGCTTCTACTTTTTGCAGCAATTCTACCACAATGCTGAAATCAAGATTCGTTGTATTGGATAGCATAGCAAAAACGACAAAGATGCAGCGGCGTGTTATTTAAGGTAACCAACAGGCATTCACCAGACTGCATCACACGCACTGCTTTGTGTGTCTTTTTATGTAGATGCACTTGCGGTCGGCAGCGACAATGACAATTATGACAACGTTGGTGGTGGTGGTGGCGGCAAATTTGTCCCGATGATGGTCGTTTTGGTCGATATTTCGGAGGTGGTGACTGCTTTGGTGGGGCCTTACATTGAAAATGATGGTACTGAATGATGTTGTCTCCATGAAATTCATTCGTTTTGACATGTATGATGCAAGAATTATTTCTCGTGGTTTTCTATTTCTTATCTTTGCAATTATTTTGCTCTTGTCTCGGTGCTTCGTGCAATCAAATCTCACTTCCTTTAATCTTCGGGAGCAGCTGCGCCATCTTATCGAGCTGTTGCATGGAGTTCTGCATGGACTGTAAGGCGGATGGAAGACACTCACATGGGCTGCATGGAGCATGAAGGCGGAAAATGCACATGCTGACTTTGGGTGTGCATTAGTACGGGTCGTTGTTCTTCATTGCTTTCTGGGCCAAACTCCGCAACAGACGAAGGCACCTCATAGGGCACTGCATGCATCAGCTACGTCAATCATCTGCAAGAATAAAAATCCTGTTTGCACAGGTGCAAGATTCGCGGTTGACACAACCATGAAACCAAGGTTTTGGCATGGACGTGCTTTTGCTGTACGGTAGCAGTTAAAGGCACATGGTCGGTTTCGTTGTGAGCCCACAAAGATCAGTTTGGCACGAAAAGTTCGCGAGACATCGAAATTTTCCGTTTGGGGGAGGTAATTCAAACAAATTTGGATTTGGGGCTTGTCTGCGCTTTCTTTTCCGCTCTGGCACTCGCAGAATCATTGTGATTCAAGCCGCAACTTCCCGGTCATGAAACCGCCATGTGTGGCAGCAGTCGCACATTTGCTTGCCTTCCATGTTCTTGTCTCTGCGACCGAGCCGGTGCACAGCCAAAGCTGCCTGGCCTTGATGTCATGGTGTTCATGACAGTCGCTTCCAGTTTTGCAATTGAGTGAGTGAAGTTATAACCTGTCTGGTCGAAGCAACCACAGTGTGTGTGATCTTGCTGTTCGACAGTGCTGCGTGAGCAAACTCCAGGTAAGACATCATGCCTCATGCAGCATCGTGCAGACGCCTCCAAGTGGCTGGATGCCAAGGAGATTGCGCAGGACTGGGCAGGAGCATAGTGAAGGTTCGCACGGTTTGTTGGCCGCTACAGTCTAGACCCCTACCCTTCAATCATCTGGTGCTTAGTGATTCCGGTCAGAGCAGTCTCAGGTGAGTCACAAAACTGAGTTGTTGGCGAAGTGGCCGCCAGGACTCTCCGTTTTCAGACGAGCAGAGACACTGCCAAGAGCTGAGGAACGTTCCATCGAGTGTCTTCGGAAATCTTGATCTTGGGATTCAGGTGTGGGAAGCTGTCGGCTGAGAACACAGTTCTGGGTTCGCAGGGGCGGTTTCCTTGCCGTCAGTCACTGTCTGGTGTCGAAACCCTTCGTGCTCCACCCTTAGTTGGCCCCTGGATGTGAAATTAGTGTTTAGAGTTCCGGGCTTCGGGAAGGAGCGCCATTTTGCAAGCCATGGCTTGGTTTCACAGTTCGAAAAGCCGAACGTTTGCTCAAGTACTACTGCTGTTTGCGGACGTGCGTGGGCCAACATGCTAAACTCTGTGAACTTTCATGGGGCTGAGGAAAGCCCAACCTCCATCCTTGAATCCCAACGACCCTATCTTCCACCTTCCTGCCGATAACCTGCACGCACCTGTCCGGCTGTGAATCCCCTCAAATCTTGCTGCCTTCACCCAAACCCAGAGTCGGAATTCAGTCCCAGCCTCGACCCTGGACATTTGGTCCGAAGACCCTTGGCCCAAGCCTGAATCTCCGAGGTATCCGGGAGTATGCTTCCAGCGTCGATGCTGACATCCCCGGCTTTGCAGGTCAACTTGCGCACCGACATTCGCAAGCCATAGTCGGTGTGATGGCCCCCAACATGCACCCTTTTAGGCCTTTCGGGCTATTCTAGAGACCGTGAAGGGTACATACAGGGTATATAGTAGGTATACAGGGCCCACACCAGGGGCCCATGGTTTTCAACCTTAGACTCAACGGTCAGAGATGGTCCGTTCTCAGTCCGACCTTTCGTGGGAGCCCAGTTTCGCACTTCTCCCTAAAGGCTTCCTTCAAGTACAGGTAAATTGGAACGGCGGCATCCCAAGAACGAAGGAGCTGAGTCCGGGGACTGGGTTTCAGAGAAAATCTGGCCTCATGGGCGATTGCATGTAGGGTGCTGTTACTACGGGTCTGGAGGGCAACGCCGAATATCCACGGGCTACACAACAGTGTAGTGGGGCAGCATTTCGGGTGCGCAAAACCGGATGTTGAGGCTTTCCCACGATCGTCGGGTTTTTAATTTAGCCTTGTGCATGCAGAACAAGTACGGGGTATGAGCATTATGTCCCGGACACCGCAGAATGTTATAGATATCATCATAACGCATTGCGACACAATCACATCATCCGTTTCACGGGTGTCCTAGAGCTGTTTAGGATGGTGCAAGAACTAGCAGAAAAGTGCAGCAGACACAACATCGTCACACTGTACCCTGTGAATATGCAGAATAGACTGCACCTTGACCCAAAAGGCTCGAAGACCTTGCGACACTGTTTGGCCCAGTTTGGCCAAAGTGAAGTAGTTTGAAAACCCAGGCATTTGTCAAGACCCCACCTGCGCAAAATCGACTGCCCGACGCCCAATCAGTGAAGCTCGAATCACTGCCGCATGCAGAGTTTCTAACCACCCTGCCTTGTTGGTCCAGAGATACTGCCCGTACCTAGGAAAGTTTGGTGGTGCAGGGGCAGCAGCCACCAACGACTCTGTCATCCTGGGTGCTGGCTTTGGCCCTTGGGCTTCGTCCAATTTTTGGGCTCTGGAGCAGGTTCGAAGTCTCATTTTGTGGGGTCTCGGCTCAGCTTTGGGTCTTGAGTGCTTGAGACTCCTCCTTGGAATGGTCCGAATCCCCGACCTTGTTGGTAGCCATGCACGCATCGTCAGCACCGTGAACACAGCGGCTGTCCCTGAAGACGTACCCATAAGCCTTAAGTTTTGTCCCGAAGACCTGCATGCTTCCCCATAACAGGCGTGGGTTCAGGCTCGCGGTGTAGGCTGTGCAGCAAGGCACTACCGCCACTCGCTCCTTGTTTACCTTCGCTGCCCAGCTGGGCCGGCGGGTCCACCACTGGTCATCCGCGGCTGCCACCGTGAGATAAATTGTGGTGGGAAGGGTGTAGGGTTCTGTGCTGGATGTACCCTGCTTCCAATGAGAGTGTTGTTGCAACAGAGATTGTTAAGAGCTAGGTTGGGGCTTTCAAACTTGTGCAGGATTTGGAGCTTGGGAGTTCAGGGGTCGCAGGTATTGGTCAATGGGCCTGTGGAGAGCCAACGTATGGACATGTGAACACTTGGGGTAGCCCTGTGCTCAAGGGTCACCTCGAGCCCTGTGGTGTGTTTGAAAGGTCTCACCATTGGGTATCTCGAGCATCGGGCGAAGTTTTTGTAAGCCCGTAAAACGATATTGTCAGAAACTAGAGCACTGGCACCTGCTGAAAGGCCAAAGCCGGAAGCCGCCATCCCCAGATCGTATGGGAGAGAGCGAGCCCTAATCCTCGAGATCTCGACCCAACGCTGACACTTCTGCAAGATGCCCTTCAAAGTCTTACGTACATAGACTCAGGATCCTCCTGAGTTCTGGACACAGCTAAATGGCTTGGTCAGCAAGAAGCGCCGTGGACTTCGGGATTTCGCCTGGGGGTTGGGGCATCTATCGCTTACTTGGCTTTTCATTTGGTGCTTAACTGCTTGACACTTTCGGGTTTCGGCGTTCTGAATGCTTGAAAAAGGCCCAAATGCAGGCAAGACCCAAATGATCTGTGGTAATCCCAATGCCGAAACACTGAAGCCTCGTTTACTGCATGTTTCGGTTGTAGGTTTAACGAGCTTGCCCAGAGGTTTCAACGGAAGGGTAGAGCAATGCGAAGGCACTGGAGAGTTCACGGTGGACAGTGTAGGGATCGATGGTCTGGAAAGTGATACGAAGCTAGGTGATCCTGACCTGGAAAGCTCAACATGCAAACCCAAGCTTCTCCAGGAGGTCGGGGTCAAAATCTAGAATCTAGAAACCCATAGACCTCAGATCCCTAAACGATCCTGGCCGCGAGCTTTAGACCTGACACTGTTGGAGGGGCGGAGGGCTTGGATTTCAGACAGTCGAAACTAGGTTTTCATCGTCAAGGACATGGTGAAGCGAGGATTCTGCACATAGTTTTGGCCGTGATCCGTAGCTTTGCGCCGCAATCCATCGCCCCCAAACATCAATCCTGTCGCAAACCTACGAAGGTACTGGTGCCTAGGTGCAGGTTGCGGGGAGCAGGAACCGACATCAGGTTAAGGATTTCGGATCTGTCGCAGACTTGCCGGTAAGCTTTGTGCCGAGCGCCTCTAGTTCCAAGGAAAATATGAAAATCCCGGCGCTATGTATGGAGTTGAGGTATGTTGCCAAAGCCTCTGAAGAGTATCCGGGCAAGGTACTTACGTTCAGCCACCGTCGCGTTGGTCTCCATAGATGTTTTTGTTCCCTCCTGTGACAGAGGCAGGCTTGGATTCCTGCGTATTCCCTCCCATAGGAGTAGTGCGTGTAAGTGCCATTGCAGATCGAGTGCAGTTGGAAAGATTTGTCATGGCGATTTCGGGACAGAGGCTGGAATACATAATACAACTAGAGACGAATCGGCATTCCTAAACCGAGAGCCTTGGCTGAACAGTTACGATGTCCAGGCACCCGGATGGCGCCTCAGGCTGCTACAAGGCGGTCAATGCCATGAACTTTTCAGCTTCTCTTGCAGGCGAGCTTGGGCGTTTCTCGCTGCTAAGCCTTTGTTTTGCGGTTGGTACAGTTTTGGAAACCGGACCTGCATTCCGAAACTGGAGAGTCTGTGTCTCGAAATCCTGTGCCCTGACCCTGGACCTGGATCAGTTACTAGGGTCCCAACCCACAGCATGCCAGGCTCGAAGTAAGTACAACCTCATTCCCCGTCATCAAATACTTACACCACATTTAGGGACCTCGTCGCAGATGTTCAGTTCAGTGCACGGCAATTTCTCATGCAGACATACTCGCCTCCAGTCACAATTCCTTCCGAATCTCCTAGCTCCGGAGAATGGGATGCTCAGCTCTGAGCGATGCACTTGAGTTAAGCTGAACCCATCATAATACTTGACTCGTAACGCTCAGCCGCAGTTCGTCCGCCATCTCCTCCAATACCTACCATACTTGCTTAAAAGGTGCCACAGGGAGATGAGCAACCGGACATGTCGAGGCTTCCGGACACCCAGGGGTCACAAGCCAGCCCAACCAGCCCAGCGTCCACTTCTCGACCTCGCCATAGGTCCAGAAGTGGGCGGTAGCAGTTTGCCACAAGAGCCCAGGATCAAACTGAAGCTGCTGAACTTCAATCGCATGTATAAATCAAGCGGCGGCACGTCAGCGAGGCAGATTTTTAAGATTCAGCGCATGCCGGTGCTTCCACACTTGTACGCTCCCAATTTTCTCTTGTGGATTTGACACCGGTGCTCTGACGAAACGCTGTGTCAAAACAGCCGATGGGTGATACTTTTACCTAGGATGCCCGAGCTTGCTCTCGAGAATGATTTGCGCCGTTAGTTTCGGAATGTACTATGTGACTATGTGTACCTTAGATTGCGAAGTCCAAATCACGAGGACAGCCTTCCAAGTATTGGTTCAACCTCGTTTCCGGTCAAGCACTCATGTGCTCACCCCGGTGAATAACTCCTCACCAAAAGCCATGGTTGCCGCAAGGATTTCTGCAGTTGGAAGAACATGTCACGATGTAGTATTTTGTTCAGGGATTGCTGGGTTGCTGTGCTTAACTTGCTCTGCGCAGATTTTGACGCTTCGCGTCAGTAGAATTCCACTTGTAGAAATCGTCGTCGTTGCAGAGCAGCGGTTGTGCCTTCAAGAGAAGTCATCTCGCAGACAGCCATGTAATACATGCTCAGAGTTGCCACAGATTCAGCACTCCACGGTTCAGAATTTTCTTCCGTAAGCTGGTTCGAGACACACGTGAGGCCACGACATGCTTCTGGATACCCCGCTGGCGGAGCACTTTCTGGATTTCTATGCCGTCTCACCAAACTCGAAGGCCTTCCGACCCGTGGAGTACTTATTCGTAGCTGAAGTTTTTCGCCGTAGATCCTCATACATCGCGCTCGAGCATGATGACAGACTTGTTCCTATTGCTCCAGAGCCACATCATGCTCAGCAACTGTTGTTCCTAGCATGAATTGGACGTGGGTCAGAACAACCACGAACCTTACTCCCTCAAGCCCTCAACCAGTCCGGTAGATGCCAACATCCTAGTTTCGGCGGCCCTGTCACGTGCTGGGAATTCCAACTCAGATGCCTCAACATACCTGTCGATTGCTTCCGACATTGTACTTTCGCGTAAGAGTGTGGCGTCAAGATGCACAAGAGAGGTGTTATGAAACTGAAATCCCACAGTCTGAGCCTGAACCTTAACTCAGCAGGGGCAGTCTTTGTGGACTTTAAGCCGATCTTGCACCATACTCGTCTATGGGAGCCTGAAGTTATTTTTTTTCCCGCGACATGTTATCTAGTTGCAACATAGTGTCCCCGCCCCCAAAAGCCTGGTAGCATAGTATTCAGTTTCCTACATTTGGCCTGTTGGGGGGTTTTGTGTACTTCCGAGTTGATGTCGGCTTGATTTCCGGTCATGCTGGCTTTGGCCGGTGGTTGAAGGTTTGGGGTTTCAGGGCTTTGGGCTTGGCCGGTGCTTGAAGCTCAGAATCCTCGGTGACAAAACTAGGGCTCAAGCTTGATGCTGAAGAGCTTTCACAGAAGTCGGTGTGCCTAGATCCCGGAACAGATGCACGAAGTGCAGGCTGAGGTCAAAGCATAGTGGTTGGTGTCACTTGTGCAGGAGGTTGTTTCGGTTGAAGCACCACCCTTCCCTCACCATTCGAGCCTTTTTGGATCAGTATTTTTGCCTGAGCTGCCATCATCATTGCTTCCATATTTTGTCATATCGTTGGCATTCACAGTTCGTGTTTTGATTACGTATCGGTACCGCTGCTACTGTGCTCTAGCATTGATACTACTATTATCATCCTGTCTGCTGTTCACATTCCCAAACCGTAGTTCTATTGGGACGACGACGGCGACGACGACGACGACGACTACTACTACTACTACGACTCCTGCTGCTGCTACTACTACTACTACTACTACTGCTACTACTACTACTACTACTACTGCTGCTGCTCTTGCTGCTACTACTACTACTACTGCTGCTCTCACTGCTGCTACTTATCTTGCTACTACTACTACTACTACTACTACTACTACTACTTACTACTACTACTACTACTACTTACTACTTACTACTACTACTTACTACTACTACTTACTACTACTACTTACTACTACTACTACTACAACTACTACAACTACTACAACAACTACTACTACTACTACTACTACTACTATAACTTCTGCTACTACTACTACTACTACTACTACTATAACTACTACTATAACTACGACTATAAGTCCTCCTACT